GTACACAGTATGATGAGGCTGGAAAACCTCACTTGTTCGTAATTCTGATTTCAGCTCAATTAATATCCAAAATTCCTCAAAAGGTTCGCTGAAATTTTCGTTTAAAGGTTTCCCCATGGTAAAGTACAGACATTTTATAAAAACCTGAAAAGGATTATTTTGAGGTGGAGTTTACAGAACGAATATTGAAAAATATGTTGTACTGTACTCAAGTTTATAAATAGAACATATCTATCAGAAACACGGTAGCATCACTTGAAATTTGCCATCAATGTCAGAATATGATTTTTGCCAGTAAACTCGAATTTCCCACGAAAACTTTCGAGAAGACGAGAACAATAGTTATTTTTAAAATTGCATTCAATTTGCGACAGTTGCTTTTGTAGGCGCTAATTTTTTCTATCAACGATGCTCGCCTGAGATTCTGTACCACATCGTTTCAAGACTTCTTGCCGAAACGATCGCAGGATCTTGAACAAAAGCGAAAGACTTCCACAGTTCTTCGAAAAATGGCACAACGACGTCCTTCCCAAGCCTTGAACGAGTTCAGGGCAATGCAGGAGGCTGGCGGAAATTACGGGAAAAATTATGCACGTTAAAAGAACAAAAGCGAAAGACTTCCACAGTTCTTCGAAAAATGGCACAACGACGTCCTTCCCAAGCCTTGAACGAGTTCAGGGCAATGCAGGAGGCTGGCGGAAATTACGGGAAAAATTATGCACGTTAAATTATAACTATTGAAGGTTCCTCTCTTCTCGACGAAAATTAGTGGCAAATATGGAGGAACTTTCTTCCTTGGAGTCAGATGGAGAGAATGCGTCAACTGACGAGAAAGCCACTTCGGATACGGTGATCACATATTTATGGAAAAAATACACAGTCTAAACGAATATTGGACGCCGAACATTCCAAGTTTCATTTTAATTTCAGAAATGAAAACTTGGAAGAAAAATATCTAATGAACATAAGATAGTGTTATTCCTGTACGGAAGTACATTACAGAATTCTAAAATATACATGGTAAACAGTGCACTTTTTTTTACTACAGTACTCACGAGAAGGATTCGCAAAATGATTCCCGCATTTTTAATTTGATTAGTGTTGCATTCACTTCGTGAAGACCTAGCGTTCAACTCATCAGAGGTAAAAAGACTTCAACCGAGTTTATGAGATACGATCAAATTAAAAAGATACATTCTTCAGGCTACCCACTGATCCAGCTTTTTCTTCCTTTTTTTAGAAAAGCAAAAGACGTATAAACCGGAGTACCACTGAATTCAGGAAGCCTTGCTTTTTTTCTTTTTTACAACGGAATGCAATAACTTGTTTTCAATTGAATATGAAAGGGCTTTCTTCTCGTCTGCCACTCTTGAACCATCGCTGAAATCGATTCTAAATATCAGGGATAATTGGTTTACGATCATTTTAGACGAAAAGCACTGTCGACGAGGACGTCGAAGAGGAAGAAATCCCACTGGAGGACTGCGACTTGTTGATGGGACTTTGGGGCTGGTACCCTGAATGGCTCCAATGCTACAGGACTCCACAAGCGTTGCTTTTCTGGTTGTGCTGCGCCACTTTCCTTCAAGGTTTTTGGTTCACTCACTACCCATTAGTTCCATCATCGATCAAAACTGGTAAATCCGACAAACGTTCGCTTATTTTCCGTCGACAGGCATGGTCGTCAACGGGCTCGTCAACGTAATCATTACGACGATCGAGCGTCGATTCCAACTTCATTCCATAGAAAGTGGCATGGTCGCGAGTTTCTACGACGTTGGTTATTTCACGTTCGCATTTCCTGTTAGTTTCTATGGTGGTGAGTCATTTTGTTTGTCGAGAAAATTCACCCATTCATGTATATTTCATAAACCATTAGAAACGTTATTAGAATAATCAGACTTGCTCACGATCGACCCGCGAAAATAGATAAAAGTCTTCCGCAATTTCCTCAAGCTCCGAAATACGAAAACCTGCACAAATATAGAGTGATGAGTTTTGAGCAAAATCACGGAAGCTGTCCAACTCGCCTGAAGCTCATCCTATTCATCAAAATTTCCAAGTTCTACCTTTTCACGAACGAATCTCAGAATGACATAAACTTTGACACAAAATATTGATACTGAAAGAATCAAATACAGGATTAATTTTTAAAAATTACAATACCCCAGCATCCTGCCAGCATACGTCACCACGTTCACAGGATTTCCCATGACCCAAAACGTCTTCTTTATCTCTGTTCTTCAGCTAATTTAGCGTCGCTCTTAATTAGGTACAGTACTATAATTATAGAAAACAATTTAGGCCTTCTCCGGTTATCTATGATTTTGGACCGCCCGGAAGGACGAACGGTCATTAACCCGGGCCATAATTTATCTCGTACATCAAGATTCATGGACTCTTCTCATTATCGTTAGAATTCCCCAGGAGACTTCAGCTTTCAGTTCGAAGGTTCTACCCAAAAAGGAGATTACCGCGAAAAATATGATATTCGCATTTAATGACTCGTACATCAAGATTCATGGACTCTTCTCATTATCGTTAGAATTCCCCAGGAGACTTCAGCTTTCAGTTCGAAGGTTCTACCCAAAAAGGAGATTACCGCGAAAAATATGATATTCGCATTTAATGCTGAATCTAAAATTTATGCGAAAACCATAATCGTGAAGTGTTCGCTATTAAGATTTTTTTTACGTTCATGAATATTCGAAGCGTCGAAAATATCACTTCATTCGGATTTATCGAAATATTTGGTTTTCATACGCGTTCATTTCTGTTTTCTGAACGAAAAGAGGACACCATCAGCCAAGCTTCAACATTCAATTCAACCACGGCAAAGCATTTCTCGTCAAGGACAGACACAAAAGCTATGTTAACACAAAATCCAGTAGAACACCTACCGGTTTTCAGCAGAACCCATTATCACAACGAACACTCGAAAGCTTTTAAAAATAGAAGCTTTGCTGCAGTTTTTCCCCCTTCACTGGAACAGCACAGCGGGGAATGAAAAAAAAAAGTTTCTGGACAGGCGGTATAAAGCATATTTGTTTCAGGTTCTCGACTGGCCCAAAAGCCCCAATGGATAGGGATTGGGGTACTGGTCATGGGGCTCGGGTCTCTGGTGTTTTCACTGCCACACTTCCTAGCGCCCTCAATGATGTCGTCGATGAGCGAGACGGATACTTTGTGTCACGTCGGCGGGCTGCACGGCGAAAATCCGTGTCAAGGTTCAATCGCGTAAACTTCAGTTGCGAATTAAATAATGTGACTTCTAGAAACTCAAGATACTGTGTGGAATCTCGATTACAGGCGCCACGGAAACGTTTTTCTCGTCTTACAAGTACATTTTCTACTTCGGACAATTCCTGCATGGCGTTGGAGCGACTCCCTTGTACACTCTTGGAGTCACACTGTTGGATGATACAGTTTCATCCGAAAACTCGCCAGTGTATCTGGGTAAATTATGAGAGATGATTTCGATCAATAATTTCCGCGTTATGACACAATGAGGTACTCAGAAGTCCCGACAGTACAAAAATTATCCTTTGAAAAATGAATTTTGTAAAAATGAATTCAAGGTTCCTTAAAATAGCCCTTTCGCTTATGAAGAGCATCAGGATTTCAACTTCGAAAATACGGCGGACTCCGGTTTTCTTTTCTCCCGATGATTTCCCAATGTGGGCTAACACTCAACTGCTCCAGAGGTTTTCAACTGCCTTCAACAGCTGCGTTCCGAACAAACACCTTCATATCAGTAGCTTTATTTCATTTTTGGCGCACTCATAAGAAAAATCACTGACATTCTCATTTCCGAGGACGGTCCTTTGGTGCTTTCACACTTTTAAATATTCTAGAATGAGTGCACGCGCTTCTTCTCCTACAGAAATACTACTCGTTGAAAAGTGGAAAAAAGTAACTGTGAAAATGTATTCAACTCCGAATTGCAGGAATATTCTACGCTATGGCGGTTGTGGGCCCGGCAGTTGGTTTCTTCATCGGAGGAGAGTCCTTGAAGCAACACACAGAACTTACTCTAAAAGTTGCAGAGTAAGTTTCATGTAGTGCTTGCAGACATAATTTTCATAAACTACTGTATCTCTTTGATCATTTTCATTTTTCAGACTGGGCTTGTCTCCAGGAAGCAACCTTTGGGTCGGAGCGTGGTGGATTGGATTTTTGATAGCTTCGATTGTGGCTGTTTTTGTTGCTATTCCAATCCTCATGTTCCCAAGAAAATTGCCAGGTAAACGCAACAACCTTTCTTACAATGATATTGTCAACGGAATGCGAGAAATTTCAGTTTAACCCAAGACTACTGCTTATATTCAAC